GAGCAGTTAGGGGCGATCAGGCAGGCAGGCAAGTGGTTAGGGGTGATCAGGCAGGCAGGCAAGTGGTTAGGGGCAATCAGGCAGGCAGGCAGGCAGAGGGGTTAGGGAGATCAGGTAGGCAGGCGAATGGTCCTGCCCAGTGCTCGCACCTGCTGCTGGCGCCAGCCCCGTTACCACCTGCTGCTGGTGCCAGTGCCGTTGCTTGCACCTGCTGCCAGCACCTGGCACCGGCCCCGATTGCTCGGCACCGTTAGAGGGTGTGAGCAGTGGCTGCCGGCCCCTACTCCACATCCCCCTGCTCCTGAGGGGCTTTTGGGGCAGCAGCTGCCGCTCACACCCGCTGATGGCGCTGGTCCTGTTCGCTCTGTGCCATCAGTGGGTGCAAGTGGGGCTGCTGTCTTCAGAGTGTGGGAGTGGCGGTGGAGGGAGAGGGGCTGCCGGCTAACAGGATACCAGGGGCCGTGATGGGAGGGGCCGGGTGGGGTGAGGAAGATGGGCCGAGACCTGCCCCTGTGCCCACTGCAGCCTTGCTGCCCACGGTTCCTTTTAAGGTGCAGGAATTTGTGCACTGGGTCCCTAGTTCTAGCATAATGAGAAATAGTAGACTTCCCTGAAAGACTAGTTTATCCCACACACATCTCAGTTATTCAAACCCTAGGAAGTTTAAGAGTACATTGGGAAGATGTCAACTTTAATCTTTCCTGCTTCTCTTTAGCTGATGGACGTCATGCAGCTGTTGAGGTGAAAGATGTCTCACTAACTGCTAAGGTGGTTGACTTGCCTTGCGTTATTGGAAGTCTGAAGACTCTTGACAATAAAATGTTTTATAAAACAGCAGATATTTCCCAGGTATGGATGAATTTTCTTAATCTCCTAGCTCTTACATCCTTCCAGGAATCCCTTTCTCCCTCCTTTTCTCTCTTTGTTTTTATTTATTGATTTGAGAGAGAAACATTAATTTGTTGTTCCATGTATTTATGCATTCATTCATTGGTTGATTCTTGTATGTGCCCTGACCAAGGATTGAACCTACAACCTTGGCATATTGGGATGACACTCTAACCAACTGAGCTGCCCAGCCAGGGCCCTTTTTTATTTCTTTCAGTGCTTCTTTACACTTGTGAATGGCTGCTTGTCATTTCTAATTCCCAGCTCAACTGTACAGAAATACAATGGCATGTTCTGGTTTAGTGTTTTATTCATAACTTTTCACTATTTTATTTTATCCAAGTAGCTTTTAGAGCCCCCCGTTTGCCATCTCTAGTGATTTAAATTATTTGAAATACTAGAGGCCCAGTGCATGGATTCATGCACTGGTGGGGTCCCTTGGTCTGGCCTGTGCCCTCTCACAATCTGGGACCCCTTGGGGGATGTCGGGACTGCTAGTTTCAGCCCAATCCCTGCAGGCCAGGCCAAGGGACCCCACCGGCGCACAAATCTGAGCACCAGGCCCATTTCAGCCCGATCCCTGCAGGCCTGGCCAAGGGACCCCACCAGTGCACGAATCCATGCACCGGGCCTCTAGTATGCATATAAGATCTTTGGTTAATCTCTTCACATCCTCCCTCCTCCCCACTTCCCTCTGAGATTCATCAGTCTGTCCCATGTTTCCACGCCTGTGCGTTGAGCGTCTGCCCCCCTGGTGATCTTGCAAGTCATAGCTACCGGTCAAACAGTCCAACGGTCCAATGGTCAGATGGTTGCTTAGGCTTTTATATATATAGATATGGACATCTGGGATTTTCTTCTGAACTCTCTGATAAAACAGTATGCTTTTAACTGTTGAGATTTACGTTGATTCTTATCATCTCTTCTCTTGATTTTTTGTTTTCTTTCTAAATCAAAATGCTAGGATATATCTGTTTTAACCATATTCCTTCTACAGTGTTAAACACTCAAGCTAAAAAATACCCACTCAAAGTCAACATACAGAGTCCACATGCCAAGACACAGAGAGAATGAATATGAATGTATGTAATACTTGGTTTTCTGGAAATTTCAAGTAACATTGTCCTTACTTCTCTGCTCTAGGACTTCTGGTGGTAAGAATAATCATGATTCATTACTAACCCAAGATTTGTGTCCATAGTCAACATCTTTGTTTTTGTTAAATGTAGATGCTTGTGTGCACTGCTGATGGTGGTCTCCACTCTTCTCCGGAAGAAGCAGTTACCTCTACTGATCTTAAAGTAATCAAGAAAAAGGAAAAGGGGAGACGGAAAAAATATGCCTGGAAGCATGGCAGTAAGTCACCAGCCCTTTTGCTCATTGTGGCTGACTACATCTATCTGTTGAATCCTAATTACTTGTGAACCAGAGACCCATTTACCACACTTGGGTGTTTGGTTCATTAGGCATCCAGACATTCTTTAAGGAAAGAGTCATGTCATGAGCCAGTAGTTTATAACATGACATTTCTCCTTATAAAATTCAGATAGATATGTGACTACCATTAATATTATATGTTTCACTATGTTAAATTTATTTTAGTTACTCCACCACTTAAGAATGTCAGAAAGAAAAGGTTCCGCAAAACAAGAAGAAAGGTTAGTTGCATGCTATTTCTGTGCCTACTGGGTGGATTGGGAAAGGATTATTAACAGGGTGTGGGGGAGGGGAAAAGAGACAGTTCGTTGGGGATTAATTTGTTCATTCATTTATATGTTCGATAAACATTTATTGAGTGTGAGCTAAATGCCACTGTGTGCTAGCAATTGGGAATATATAGTGAACAAAAAACCAACCTGATCCTTGAGGTTATAGGCTAGTCCTTTAGGTATCTGGTTGTGTCTTGAACTTGAAACTTCTGCTAATGCTTTTAGTTTCCAATTACAAGATTTAGCTTTAAAGTGAACCCATGCAGAACCTGAGATTTGGGAATTGTGGTTATGTTCCTAACCTTACCTCAGATTTTTAGAACCATGAGCAAGCTACTGGAGTATTATAGTTTGGTTTTATTTTTTTTAATTAAACTTTTTTATTTTTAAATAATTGTAGAGTCACATGCAGTTGTAAGAAAAAAAGGGAGTTACCATGTACACTTTACCCAGTTTTCCCCATTGTAACTTTTTTTTTTGCAAAATTATAGTACAATATCACAAAGAAGAAATTGACATTATTACAATTTACCAATCTTATTTAGATTTCTCCAGTTTTACTTCTACTCCTCTGTGTGTGTGTTTAGTTGTCTGCAGTTTTATACTATATCCACCTACACAGTCAAGATACTGAAAAGTTCTGACACCACAAGAATCCCTCATCTTGCTGTTTTATAGTCACACTCACCTCCCACCTACTTTATACCCCTATTCTCTAACCCCTGGCAATCATTAACATGTTCTATAATTTTGTCATTTTGAGAATGTTATATAAATGGAAACCTACAATATATAACATTTAAGATAGGTGTTTTTCCACTCAGCATAGTTTCCTTAATATCTGTGCAAGTTGTTGCATGTATCAATAGTTTATTCCCTTTTATTGCTGGGTAATTTCATGGTATGAATGTACCACAGTTTATTTAACTGTTCACCCATTGAAGAACATCTGGGTTGTTTCCAGTTTTTGATAATTATAAGTAAAGCTGTGAACAGGTTTTTGTGTGAACATAGCATCCGTTACTTTGGGATCAATGACCAGGAGTGCAATTGTTGGGTCATATGGTAGTTGCATGTTTAGTTGTATAAGAAACTGCCAGACTGTTTTCCAGAGTGGCTGTACCATTTTACATTCCCACCAGCAATGTACCAGTATGTGTGAACTACCTTCTCTATATCCTCACCAGCATTAGGTGTTATCACTATTTTTTATTTTAGCCATTCTGATAGATGTGTAGTGATCTCCTTGTGATATTAATTTGAATTTCCCTGATGACTAATGATGTTGAACATTCTCGTTTGTGTATTTGCTATCTACTTAATCCACTTCAGTCAAATGTCTGTTCATGCCTTTCACCCATTTTCTAAATTGATTTTTAAAATTGTTGAGTTTTGAGAGTTATGATCTAAATATTAGGGTGTTTTTTGGGGGTCAGATATCTGGTTTGCAATATTTTTTCCCAGTCTGTAGCTGGTCTTTCATCTTCTTCATAGGGTCTTTCAAAGACCAAAAGTTGTTGTTTTTTTAAATGAGGTCCAATTTATTGATTTTTCTCGTAACTTTTTGTGCAGTCCAGATCCTCAAGATTTTTTTCTATATATTTTTTCTAAAAAGTTTAGATTTTACATTTAATTCTACAATTTGTTTTGGAGCTAATTTTTGTAAAAGGTATAAGGTTTAGTTCAAGGTTTTTTTGTTTTGTTGTTGTTGTTTGTTTTTGCCTTTACTTGTCCAATTGCTCCAGCACCATTTGTTAAAAAGCCTATCCTTCTTCTATTGTATTTCTTTTATACTGTTGTCAAAAATTGGTTGGGTATATTTGTGTGAGTCTTTTTCTGGGTTACTTGTTCTGTTGTATTAATCAATGTGTTGATCCTTCTATTGATATCACATGTAGCTATATAATGTCGTGAAATCAAGATGACTGTTCTCACTTTTTTTTTCTTTGTCAAGATTGTTTTGACCTTTTAGACAGCCTGTACCTTTCCATATAAATTTTAGAATAAGCCCAGCCAGTGTGGCCCAGTTGGTTAAGTGTCGTCCCATGCACCAAAGGTCACTGGTTTGATTCCGTCAGGGCACATGCCAAGGTTTTGGGCTGGATGCCAGTGGGGGGTGTTCAGGAGGCAGCCAATTGTTTCTCATTAATGTTTCTCTCTCTCTCTCTCTCTCTCTCTCTCTCTCTCTCTCTCTCTCTCCCTTCCTTCTTGTCTAAAACCAATTTAAAAACATATTTTAAAAAGATTACATATTAAATTTTAGAATAAGTTTGTCTATGTCTATAGAAAAGTCTTGTTGGAATTTTGATAAGGAATTGCATCAAACCTATAGATTAATCTGAGGAGACTTTACATCTTTACTAGTCTTTCAATCTATGAATATGGCTGCCTTGGCTTTTATATTGTCAGTCTACAGCATTCATTGAATGCCTACTAAATGTAAACCTAAGTTAAGAATAGTTTTAGACTCTTTAAGCCAGGGGTCCTCAAACTACGGCCCACGGGCCACATGCAAATACAAATATTGTATTTGTTCCCGTTTTGTGTTTTTTTTTTTACTTCAAAATAAGATATGTGCAGTGTGCATAGGAATTTGTTCATAGTTTTTTTTTAAACTATAGTCCGGCCCTCCAACGGTCTGAGGGACAGTGAACTGGCCCCCTGTTTAAAAAGTTTGAGGACCACTGCTAAGCCTTAGTGAAGTACGACAATCATACTATAACTTCATTGTTTATTATGTTTTATTTTATAGCTGGTTGATTTCAAACAAGTCGAAGAAGTCAGCTTTACTGAAGTAGAGCAGTCATGATATAACCTTATTGTTTGCCCTTAGTATGTTTTATTTCATAGCTTATTAATTTCAAACAGATAAAAAAATCATAAAAGCTACTTTCAAGCCTTTCTTCCCATCACTAAACCTCACTCCCACACAAACACTGAATTTGATTCACTGAAAAATGAATTCATTGTTTAATGTCTGATAACTCCTAGAGGAAAAGATATAGTTTGGCCAGTGACCCCTTGTATTCTAATCAGCCTTTTTTCTCTGATATTTATTTAAAATGCCATTTTTTATAAGTCAGGGTTCACTTTTTACCAGCAGTTGTTTGCAATCACTATCCCCCCTCAAAGTTCTAATTTCTATCTGTGGCATGACGAATCGGTTGCTGTGGAGATGATTATCTAAAACTGGTTTAAGGGAGAACACATAGCTAAGACCCATCTTTTAATAGGAAAATATATAAATAATAAAGATGTGGGGAAGTGGAATCTGGGAATTTGGATCTTAAACTAAATTACTTCTAAATAACAAATAAGGAATTATAGTTCTTTGCCAATGTGGGTCAGGGCAAGTAATTAAAAATTGAGGTCTAAGGGTTGCACCTCTGAGACAGGTCTTTAACATAGAGTTGCAGGTTAAAAAAATTAAATGTCTCAAGAAATTTGATTGGGAAAAAGAATAAGCTTAACATACACAAATCTAGAACCTGGTCAAGATTCCTTCATAGCCCTAGCTGGTTTGGCTCAGTGGATAGAGTGTCAGCCTGCTGACTGAAGGGTCCAGGGTTTGATTCCAGTCAAGGGCACATGCAGGTGTGCAGGAGGCAACTGATCCATGTTTCTCTCTCATCATTGATATTTCTATCCCTCCCTCTCCCTTCCTCTCTGAAATAAATAAAAATATATTTAAAAAAAGATTCCTTCATGAATAGCATTACTTAAAGTATAAATTTGGATGGATATCTTTAAGAGGGTTAATTATTTGAATTTGTATGTAGAAAAAGGGCTTTCCTGGAAAATACAGGGTGTTAAATGATATTACTAATATTCCTCCTACCCCCCACTTTGGTACAGTGCTCCGACTCTCCTGATTCAGAAAAGGAAGTGAAAAGACTGCTGTGCTCTGATGCTGAAGCTGTCAGTGTCCGTATCCTTTTGTATTAAACTAGGGGCCCAGTGCACGAATTCATGCACTTTGAAAAGGAACTGTGGGCCGTGAGGCTGCAGTGGACACAGGGACAGGCCTCAGCCCATCCTCCGCACCCCTTCCTGGCCCCTCGCACCATGGCCCCTGGTTCCCTGTCTGCCAGCAGCCCCTCTTCTCCTGCCGCTGCTCCCATGCGCTGAGGGCACTGGCCCCACTCGCACCCACTGCTGGCGCAAAGCAATTGGGGCTGGCACAGAACAATTGGGGCTGGCACAGAACAATTGGGGCTGGCACCAGCAGCAGGTTCGAGTGGCAGCTGCCAGACTCAATCACCCCTCAGGAGCAGGGGGAGGTGGAAAAGCCCTGAGGGTTGATCAGGGCCGGCAGCTGCTGCTCGCACCCACTGACGGTGCCAAGTGATTGGGACTGATGCCGGGCGCCAGCAGTGGGTGCAAACAGCGGCTCTGGTGCCAGCAGCGGGTGTGAATGGGGCCGGTGCTGGCAGCAGGTGCAAGCACCCAATGGAACCACAGCGTGTGGGAACAAAGAATTTTCAGTAACTACCAGAGGCTTGCCCCGATGACAGCGATTGGTGCCCTGTCTTGGTCTGGCGCTCCCACTCACCTGCTCCACCAATTCGCCATGGCCAATGCCCGCCATGTTCTGTGTTCTGCCGCCTGCTGCTGATGCCTGCCATGTTCCGCGCATGCCCTCTGGTGGTCAGCACACGTCATAGCGACTGGTTGTTCAGTTGTTCTGCTGTTTGGTTTATTCGCATATTAGGGTTTTATATATATAGATATGATATGTGTAGTCTGTTCCATTCCATATGTACTTGCTGACAAGCCCTCACTTCTGGTACTTATGTGCTGATTTTGATGTATACAACTTAAGATTTTTGGAAATGTTACTTTCTAGCTAGGAACAGTGAATTCATAAAATAAAATTTTATTTACCAGTACTTGTGTAATTCAATATAATGCACTTCTCCATACTAGGAATCTGGATAGAAAGGCCTAAAGTTGGATTAAAATAAATAGCACTTTCAGCAGAGAGCCTCTTCTCTTTCAATGGCATCTTCTCCTTTCTTTCTGCTTTTTTCCTTGACCGCCCCTTTCAGGATGGGAAGTAATTGCTGAAGGTGAAACCAAGGAAATCGAAAGTAAAGGCTCTGTTCCAAGCTTTGAGATGTCCCCAGGAACAAGTGGCTATAAGCGGGGTGATAGCTCACCAGGTATTTTAATAAAGTCAAAAAACAGGAGCTTCAGAGAGGGTAGGTGTTGACGCTGTGCAAGACTACTCTCTATAGACTTACAGGCCAATTACAGGAGAAGAATGCCTTTGCCCTTCTTTCTGCTTATTGGTCACTCAGTACTTTGTGGGTTTTTTATTGCGGTTCTAATCTCTCATCAATCTATGGTATTATAAATTTCTATGGGCCCTTAGATTCTCTAAATATCTTGATCATTTAATACATGAATGAATGTTACATTGTTTTATATTTCCTGTCCTTGTTTTTTTGAAGGGACTAATATTCCTACAAGAAAAATTACTTATAAAATTCACTGGTTAGCCCAGCTGGCGTGGCTCAGTCTTGAGCATCGACCTATGAACCAGGAGGTCACATTTTGCCTGGGTTTCGGACTTGATCCCCAATAGGGGGTGTGCAAGAGGCAGCCGATCATTGAGTCTCTCATCATTGATGTTTCTATCTCTTTCCCCATCTCCTTTCCTCTCTGAAATCAATAAAAATATATTTAAATATATTTTATTGCTTTTTTACAGAGAGGAAGGGAGAGGGATAGAGAGTTAGAAAGATCGATAAGAGAGAAGCATCGATCAGCTGCCTCCCGCACACCCCCTACTGGGGATGTGCCTGCAACCAAGGTACATGCCCTTGACCGGAATCGAACCTGGGACCCTTCAGTCTCCAGGCCGACACTCTATCCAGTGAGCCAAACCAGCTAGGGCAAAAATATATTTTAAAAAATTCATTGATTGCCCAGGAAATTTGAGGTGAAGAAGTACAATGGCAGCTGGAATGGAAGTCACTTGAAAAGTTTCAGGTAGTTTCACCTTCTTCTTGCTTAAAACCAATAGAATATCATATGCTTCGGAGGATACTCAATGATTCTAGCAATAGCAGTGATGAGGAGGAGGAAAAGGATAAGTACCAGGACGAGGACGAGGACGAGGACGAGGAGGAGGAGGAGGAGGAAGAGGATGATGATGATGATGATGATGATGATGAAGAATTTTACTATGATGATGAGAATGAAGAGGCGGAACAGTATTATGAAGAGAATATGCAAAGGGAGCTACAGGCCAAGTTAATTGAATTTGGCCAGTGTAAGACAAAGGAAGGAATCAGTTTAATAGGTAAGTTAGAAGAAAAAACAAAGGGGTGAGACAGAATGGGTGGCAGTGCTTAAGATTGACTCTAAACATACATTAGTTGCAAGGCTAAGTTTGAAAGGTTACTGCTCAGATGCATAGTGGACTTTTATTTATTTTTTCTTTATTATATAGGATTTATTTGGAAAATGTGGGCATGGGCGCCCATACATGCAGGCATATACCCCTTAGACATAGTGGACTTTTAGTTGATTTGGATTTCAATCCATTAGTTTAGGCTGTGTTTAGATACATAAAGTTTCTGTCTATCTCTGTTAGTCGTAGAAATTCGGAAGCATATTCATTACATGGAGAAAAAGATCCAAGAGATTCAGTGCAGAGCACAAAGACAAAAGAATCTCATCAAGAAAGTGGAAAACCTGACACTGAAGGTAAATTCTCGTTGGCTGGTATAAAGACAGCTTGGTATCTTACTTTGAAAATCCCATCTTGGGTTTCCACTCATGTCTTCCCGGAGCAGCATTCTTGTTCACTCATGAAGCTAAACAACCTCTTAGAACCCCCTAATAATAGCTCTACTTCCTTTTATCTGAGTAATTTTGATAATGTCATGTAAGCATTTTTTGGAAGGGGCCAGGAGACTTGAAATAATAATTTCCAATATTGAGCGTTTCCTATGTGAAAGGCACAGAAAGAACTTAACATTTTACATGTATCATTTCATTTCATCCTTACATCCCTGAAATATAGGTACTGTTACTATTCCCATTTTATAGATAAGGATTTTAAATTCAAAGTGGTTAAGTAACTTTCCAAGGACCACAGAAAGAGGTAGGACATAGGATGAACCCTGTTGTTTGTACTAAGATGTATTCATTGCAGTGAAAGAGAATTAACCAAATTTGTTTTTAAATTTTATTATGCATCTTTGAATAAGAATCAATATCTTGATTTATTTTTATTAATACACATTTCAACTAAAAGAAAATGTATGTTTATGCCATGTTTGCTTTCCTTTTTATAGAGAGGGAAATTCTGAAGCATCTGGAGAACTATATTGAATGACCAAGTGACATAATAGATGTGAACACTTTGAAAGATACAGATATATGGTATTGTTGTTGCATGCAGCATAGTTAGGAATAGTAGTAGTCTGACCTAGTGCAGGGAAATGGAGGCATTCATTAACACCAAATTCCAAGCCAGCTTTTTATTTTTTATTTTATTTTTAAAAAATATATTTTATTGATTTTTTACAGAGAGGAAGGGAGAGGGATAGAGAGTTAGAAACATCAATGAGAGAGAAACATCGGATCAGCTGCCTCCTGCACACTCCCTACTGGGGATGTGCCCACAACCAACGTACATGCCCTTGACCGGAATCGAACCTGGGACCCTTGAGTCCGTAGGCCGATGCTCTATCCACTGAGCCAAACCGGTTAGGGCCTAAGCCAGCTTTTTAAAAATAGTTCACCACAATCAAAGGATTTGTGCTAACTAGAAAAATGTAACATGAGGCATTTCAAACCTTTATTTCAGGACAAGAAAAAATGCTATGTAGGGTATATAAAATCAAATTGATGGTCTTGTAGTTAGGGGGTGCAGTTTTTATACTCTAAATCTTTTAAAAAGAGTGCTCCTTTGTTATGACTGACAGTTTTCTTACGTATCAAACTATTTGCCAAACTGTTTGCCTCTCTTGGTTCTTCTTTTTTTTTTTTCAGACTCAGTATGCATTATTTACACAATTTGTTTTTCAGAATCATTTATACTCTGTGCTGGAGCAGCTTGAGTTACAGAAAAAACAAAAAAATGAGCAGGTAAGAAATGTGTTTTCAAATCAATCAGAAAATATTTGATACAAATAATACCCCACCCAACCCTCAATCTCATTTCTGACTGTTCTTTTTTGTCATTGTTATTAATCCTCACTGAGGATATTTTTTCAATTGATTTTCTAGAGAGTGGGAGAGAGGGAGGGAGGGAGAGAGAGAGAGAGAGAGAGAGAGAGAGAGAGAGAGAGAGAAGAGAGAAATAGTTGTGAGAGAGAGACACCACCTAGTGACATACATGCACCCTGGGGATGGAATCTGCAACTCAGGTATGTGCCCTTGACTGGGAATCAAACCCAAAACCCTTCATTGCGCGGGCTGACGCTCTAATCACTGAGCAACACTGGCCAGGGCTCTTTTCTTATTTTTAATCCTCACCTGAGAGTATGCCTTCATTGATTTTAGAGAGAGTAAAAGGGAGGGAGGGAGGGAGGGAGGGAGAGAGAGAGAGAGAGAGAGAGAGAGAAGAGAGAGAGAAACAAGAATTGGCTGCCTCCCATACGTGCCCCATTTGGGGATTGAACCCGAAATGGGTATGTGCCTTGACCAGGATGAACCCAAGACCCTTTGGTGCACGGAATGATGCTCCAACCAACTGAGCCACACCAGCCAGGGCTTGGCTGTTCTTTATAGAGGAACAGTAGTGGTCAAATCTTCTAAATGAGGGTAGCAGGTTGGAATAAGGTTTTGTGAAAATTCACTCATTCAGCGGATATTAAGTGGAATGTGTATTAAGTGAAATGTTCTGGATGTACACACAGTGTTTTTTAAACTTTATTCTTCAATTACAGTTTACATTCAATATTATTTTGTATTAGTTTCAGGTGTACATCATAGTGGTTAGAGAATTAAGTAATTTACAAAGTGTTCCCCTTGATATTTCCAGTACCCACCTGGCACCATACATAGTTATTAGAATACTAGAGGCCCGATGTATGAAATTCATGCAAGAGTAGGCCTTCCTTCCCCCGGCTGCTGGCACCAGCTTCCCTCCCGCACCGGGGACCCAGGCTTCCCTCACAGCCCTGGCTTCGTCCTGAAGGTTGTCTGGTCTAATTAACATATTATGCTTTTATTATTATAGAGTACTGACTACATTCCCTATGCTTTACTTTACATCCCCATGGGTATTTTGTAACTACCAATCTGTACTTCTTAATCCCTTCACCTTGAATAAGACATACAATACTTGTCCTCATGGAGCTAACAGTGTAGCAGGGAAGGTTGACAGTAAACAAATTATACAAACTTAAAGGTGCAAATAGTGCCCTAGCTGGTTTGGCTCAGTGGATACAGCATCAGCCTGAGGACTAAAGGGTCCCAGGTGCAATTCCGGTTAAGGGTATGTACCTCGGTTGTAGGCCTGATCCCTGGCCCCAGGTCAGGGGGCATGCTGGAGGCAACCAATCAATGTATCTCTCTCACATTGATGTTTCTCTCTCTGTCTCTCCCCATCCCTTCTACTCTCTCTAAAAAAAAATCAATGGGAAAAATATCCTTGGTTGAGGATTAACAGAACAAAACAAAACAAAACAAACAACAAAAAAAGAAGAGGGTGCAGGTCGTGAAGAAGTGCTGTGAAGGAGAAAAAGTCAATGGTGCTCTTTGAATAAAGAGAGTCCTGATTTAATTGGGGTGTGTGTGTGTAATGATCAGCCTTTCTGAGGAAGTTATACTTAGGTTGAGATCTGATGGATAAGTCCAGGCTAAGGGGATCAAGAGCTTTTTGGATGGAACATATGCCAGGTCCTACATTTGGAAAGAACTTAGCCTCTTTGAGGACCTCAGGAGTATTCAAAACAAGGAAGAGAGTGACAACATAAGGTTGGAGAAATAGGCTGATGCCGTATTGTCTGGTCCCTTGCAGGCCATGATAATGAGGATGGATTTTAGTCCTAAGTGCAATTAGAAGCCCTTGAAGAGTTTTAAGCAGGAGACTAACATTTAATTTAAAAGATCACTCTGATTCTTATATGGGGAAGGACTAGAAGAAGGAGGCCAGTAAAGAGGCTGTGTGGTAATATAATGAGATGATGGTAACTTGGACTAA